ATATCTCTTTTTCTCCATGCAAAAAATATTGTCGCGTACGGGGATAGAACGCGGGATGTCAATAAATTCTAAAACGTTCTAATTTCCAAAACCATGGTCTATATCTTTTGGTACCACTGGACCATGAAAGAATTAGGCCGAACATTCATAAACAGCAGAAAAGTTTACTAACGTCCTCTAGAAAAGGAGTTATTATAAAATAGTCGATTATAATGACTAAAGTGAACCGTTCCGTAATGCTAGATTTTTCTTGGTTGTTATTTTATTTCATTTTTTAAAGGTAGAGTACAGCTTAGATACCATTTGAATCAAAATCGGTGTTCTGCTTTGTCAGATAATGTTCTTCCCATTCATATTTTCCCACAATAACCATAGCTAATTTGTAAAATTTTACTACTTACCCAATCTACGTAGAATTATTTGTTTTTTGAGCGGTGAAACCCAATCTACGTAGAATTATTTGTTTTTTGAGCGGTGAACCATTACTTACATTATCTCCCAATTTGTAAGTAGTTATCTTTCTCTGACCAATAATTTTGATTGAGGTCCATTGGCAGGCACCTTTGAGATTGACATTCGCTTATGCGGGTTACCGCAAAAGGATGTGGAGGAGGGGGAGGGGGTCGTACAGATGGGTACCTTTAAAGGCAGCGTCCACCCAGAATTTAACCCCCCACGTTTTCGTCATTTTGAGGCCTTTCCGTGGCCCTGATTAACTTCCGAACTCAAACTCTCTAAAATTCACAAAAAACCCTATTCTTGGGGACCCAGTCTTGAGGGCGCGGACGAGTTTCGAATTGCTCGTCTCCGTCGGCAGGCCAGCGGGGAGGAGCTGCAACTGCATGGGTGCAGTTGCATTACAGTGTGCAGTGTGCAGCTTCTGCTCACTACCTTGTCAATACGTGTCGGGAGACACGTATTGACAAAGTAGTGAGCAGTCCCTGGTGGGCGGAGTCTGATATCAGACTCCGCCCAGCCAAGGACTTTCAGGCCCCTTATCTCCATTCAGAGACAACGTTAGAAGACCGGACCAACGCAGATGTCCCTTTTCTGGGGCCTACATTCAGGACCGACACTAATCGGAGGGGATTAGGATTAGCCTGGACACTGCCTTCAAAGGGGTCGTAAATGAGGGTCCCGGATCGCATCAGCACGCTTGATCCTGGTCTCAGGCCATGTTCAACAATATATGCCTTATTTCCTTCGCTTTTTGCCCTACCCTAACAAGGTTCAGTTCGCCCCCAAATCATTTTGGCGCCCTGATTCACATGCACGAGATGCCCTGATTCACATGCACGAGATACTCTTTAGATGTCTCATGACTTTGGTGTGGAACAAACAAAGGTTAATAGTAGCAAGTACGGAAAGCGACAAAGCGCTGATTAACGGGTGTGGCAACCTTATCTTGAACATTTCATTACTAATAGTCACGCATTTCCGTCCCCTCCGGATTTGCGGCTTGAAAAAAATTTCTACGTTCTCAGCTGCAGAGATGGATTTACGCAATCTGTTCCTAAAAGGCGTTGTACAGGTTGATATTGTCTTCGATGTTTTTGTCATTTCAGAAACTTTTTGTGGCTTTGTGTTCAGATACGGAGTTCGAAAAGCGTGATTAGTTCAAAAAACTATCTATGGGCTTTTTTTTCAAAACGCAGAAAAGTACTTCAACGCTTGCTTCGTCATTAACACCTTAAAACATGCGCTCATGCGCATATTGAAGGCAGTGTCCGGGCAAAAATTCGATTTTGAGATTGTTTGCTTATACGGGCCTATCCGCCGTGCTGAATCCGAATATGCACACTGGAAAGCGCGAAAAAGGCAAAAAGAGCTTTAGCGCAAGGGTTCCTTCATACTACGCCGCAAGACGCGGCGTGCTGCGGCGCAAGCCGCAGGACGCAGCCCTCTGCCGCAGCACGCGGCAGCAAGCAGCAGCAAGCAGCAGCACGCCGCGTCCTGCGGCGTGTGCCGCTGCTGTCGCAGTAAGAATATAAGCTCGCTCGCTGTGAAGTAACATTCTCGGAGAACACGCACGTGCAGCAAATATGAATACACATCCATCACCGGCGAAGCTGTGCTGCCCTGAGCGTATATTTTCACTGCGACTGCAGCGGCGCACGCCGCGTCCTGCGGCGTAGTATGAAGGAACCCCAAGAGGGAAACAGCAAGTGGGCGGGGTCCCGCCCACTGTGATTCACGCTCCCAGCTTCCGGGCGGTCTTCTCGAATCCGCTAGCTGTCCTAATATCGCTACCGGCCAGATGCGAATGATTGACTCAAAACGAAAGCGAAAAGCTCGCTCCGGAAGCTGGAGCGTGAATACACAGTGAGGAGGACCCCACCCACCTGCTGGTTTCCCTTCTGTGTTGTTAAAGCCGTTTTTCCCCGTTTTCCGTTCTCCAATGCGCATTTTCGAATTCAGCGTAGCGAATAGGCCTGGGTAAGCACAAAATCTTAAAATCGAATTTTTGCCCGGACGCTGCCTTTGATATGGCGCGTGCGGTGTGTGCTCGCGTACGCCACTTACGCCGCTCTGGCCCAACTAACTGCGCAGTCTAGCCTTTCTAGCTTGTTATAGATCACTATTATCGAATCCATCAATTTTTTGCGAAATTTGAGATTGGCCGCAAGGATGAAGGGGAGGGGGAAGCACGCATGCTTATCAGACGAAAACGTAGTGGGGGAAGAGCATTGGCGTATGAAGCGCGCCGAGAGATAGAAACGTTGTACCAGAATAAGGCATGGGATACTTATCCTAGTGCATTGATAGGTCAGGGAGAAGCCAAGGTATGCCGGCTGGTAATATATTTTTTTGTATTATGTTGCATTTATACGTATATGATACTTCAAGGCAAAAGCTGATTTTCTTCACACGTGGTCAAAGTAGTGAATTTCTTCTGTGTGAAGCTTGTTCTATTAAAACAGGTGATTTAAAAAGATAATGTAGTTGTGTTTAGCGATTCTCCTTAGCCTAATCTGTGGTTGTAAACATAGGCCCGTAGTAAAGCTCGGTCAGGGGAGATGATCTCCCCTGAGGCTCTCATATGAGGCTCCGTCAGGTGAAATGAGGACCGCCCACTTTCCTTGCTGTAAGTATGCAACTTCATCTGACAGGTGAGCTTCAGATCAACCCCGGCAGGGAGATCAGCTCCCGATCAAGTCATCGGAGATGAGCCGGGCGATGATGCTCAGAAATAGTGTGCCAAAGACAGACCCAGAAAAAATTTCCGTGAGTTGCTCTTGAGTAACTTACAATGCACCTCACAACTCCTAATAATGCAGACGAGGGTACGTGAAGTTGCAATATTTGGGGGACCTGCGGAGGAAAAGAATCGGTGATCAGCTGTTTGCAAGCAAGAAAACGGAAAATCAAGTTTTTAATCTTCTTTCGCGGGATCTGCTTTATATTTTTGATTGCTGCAATGAATGAATATTGATGTGCTTATCTCGTTGTCTTTCTGTTCAAAAATGTGTCATTTTAATGAAAATCCGCGCTAAAACACCATAAAATTGTTCTTTCCATTTATTGGCTAGGAGAGTCTTAATAGCGGTCACCATCGATTTTTTTCATTAGTGACCCCTATCAATGATTGCGAACCGATGCAGCAAAAATGACTCCGCTAAGCGATCTCGAACCATGACTGCCTATGTTGCATCACAATCCTTATCCATTTAGCCATACCTGCACAAATACTGTTGCTGTTTCCACCTTGAGAACTTTTGTCATGTCTGCAAACGATCAGCGCCCAGATCGATAGCTCGCCGTATGCTGGACTGAGGTGCCGAGAGATCGACTCCGGTACGCTTCAGGGGATATGCCCTGACGGAGGTTTACTACGGGCCATAGTGTAGCTTATGGATAATTGTGATGTAACGAGAAGGAGTGTACAATTTTGATTGCTCGAGACTCCAGAAATTGACTGCCACGTTTCAAAATAAAAAGCTTTACTTAAAGCGATCAAGGTTGATAGTCTAAGTACTGATTACTCTGTAAAAACTATTCGCGTAGCTGTTGTCGCCCTTCCCTTCTATTCTACTCGGTTAAGTTCCTTTGAAGAACTACAGAAGCACAACAAGCCGTTCCGATTAACTCAAGTTGGCATAAAAATAACTTCGAGAGCATTATGAGTACCTGCAGGCCTTTCACTAGAAATTTTGGGTGGTCAGCCAAGGTCTTCGGTTTGTTCATGTGCGTAAACCGCAAAAGTCGTTAGCGTAGAAGGAACAACGCTGCCTCTTGCGTCGAGGTACTGCATTGATTTCGCTTCACTTTTTTGACGGTGATATCAAACTCAAACTATAAAGATCCAAAACGTAACAGCAAAAATTTACTTACTTTTGCAGTGGCTAAGTACTGGCGAGATAGCCCTAAGTAATCACATGCATAAGCTGCAAAAATACTGATTACTTATTGACTTATCGCTGCCATGCAGCACTTAAAACGAACATGTATCTAAAGTACATCAGTCAAAAGTAAGCTAGTGGGGTTTCTCTATGACCTTTGTCCAACTTTCTTTCTCCTTCCTTAGCCCTCCCTCTCTGACTCAATTGGTTCATTGCAAACAAACACTTGCAGCATTTCTTGAAAAGTATATGAAATGATCAATAATGATCCCGATATACAAAAAGTAGACTCTATTCAGTCGAGGGACAAACAACATGTAATTATTTGTCTGAGGTCAGAGAGTACCGAAATAAATATTATGTTTGATTTGTGTAATTTTTTTATAAAAGCTTGAAAGTGAAGTGAGGGAACCAGAGAAAGCAAGCGTAGGAACTTCCGGATGTTTTCATTTTTTGAGAGGTTTTTATGTGATTTGATTGAGACGTAGCTCTTGTTCGGTTCCTTTGTAGTTTGGAATAAGAAGAGACTCACCAAATGTGACCAACAATTAGCGCATGCATTAGATATCAAAAAAGCGAGGAGAAGAGCATCACGCCAAAATCCATTAAAGCTAATTTTGAGTTACCACCAAGTTTTTTTCAGAATAATAATTGTTTCAGCATGCGGCAATACAAGAAAAAGTTCTTCTCACTGCACGGTTATTGAAGGAGCTCTTACTATCGGAAATGAAAACGACATGAATAGCCACTTGGATAATCTTGAAGAGGTCTATGGACAGATTATTGTGCACAATTATGAAAATGCAACACTACCTGCTATGCCAAAGCTGAAAAAGTTGGAGTGGACTGATGAAGATTCAAAAGAGCCTGCAATCATGATATATGATAATCCTCAACTGAAAAGTATAGCGGAACTTTTCAAGTTGGACAATATCGTGCTTGGACCAAAAAAGAAGGCAATTCTGATCAAAAACAACTCCTTGCTTTGCATCGAACAAGAAAATGCTGATCGTCCTTTCGTAAAAAAGTACGCCAGCAATGTGAAAATCTGCGCATCTGAAGGAGGTGAGTGTGATTGTCTCATTATCCTACAAATGGTGAAATGCTTTCGGCTTTGTACGAAGACTTATCCATAGGTTTCTCGGAATCATAAAGGCGGAAAAGCAAGTAGAGTCTTGTTGTACGAATCTATGACAATTTTGGATTGAAGCTTAGTTTTGGTCTTATTATCTTAGACTTCCCAAGTTGACAGGCGGAGCCAACAGGGCCTTTTCTATCTTTTGGAGCGGCTTTCTCATTCCGGAATTATTTTTTGCAGGGGGACCCGAGCTCGCCATAGTTGAAGGCCCCGTTATTTTAAAGCATCAAGATCCCATCAGTCTCACTTTAGGCGCAGTGCTTTTGAAGTCGTGATGTCCTTTTCTCACTGGAAGGGTCCTCCCTGAAAAGCGCTTCCTGTCCCATGCAGAGGACCAAATCGGCGAAGCATAACGGAAAGCAGTCTTAGAGATGTCATGCTTTGCCAATGATACTACAATGGCAAATGTTCAATGCGCTGACATATTGTCTTGACAAAAACCTGCTTATATGCTATTTCTCGCAACATATCGACCGCGTGATAGTACAACCCCCCGTGACGAAAGTCTTGTCAATTACTGTATTGCGTTGATAAACAGGAAGACACGTTCGCTCGGAGAGATTATCACCGACATTCAAGCTTTTTGCACTCAGCAGAGCTTTGACCAAGTTTTTCAAATTTCCAGTGCAGGGTTCAAGCATATGTGAAGGATGTTACGGCTCAAAGGAGCTCGATCCCGTGTTTTCGCGTTTTTCTACCATTCTGGACAAAGCGTTACGCCTCATTTGCCTTTTACGTCGAACAAACGTACTATGCCTTCCTTTGCGACCTCTGTCATTATACTAAATGTTTCTGGTAAACGATGCTATCTCACTACAGTATTTTTTGCCCATTCCCGACTCTCGCATGGCTAACGCTATCTAGCCTTATACTCTGGCTGGGAATTTCGTTCCAACTGATGACCTGCTTCCTGGGTTCTGTTTGGCTATATGATTTTTCGAGGTATGTACCATTCAACATTCAAACGCCTATTTGCCTACCCCCGAACACATACAGTACCTAATGGCACACAATCATCTCTTTATTTCTTTGAATAAAACATTGTTTGATTAAAAAAGTTTACAGTGAATGTGATCTCTTTTTTTTTTGAGAAAACCGTCGGTAGACTATGGGCAAGTAGTTGCTGTTGAATCTTTATCCAAGTTTTTTCAAACCATATATCAACAATCAAGAACTGAAGCTCGCCGATGTCTTCTTGTCACTGTGCATGTGCTTTCTCGGCATCATTGACAAACACATCTTCAGACATACCCTTGATAGTCCACAGACAGGGCAAGAAAAGGTTGTTTGAATATCTGTCCCTCGTGAAGATTGTCTTTAGAAACCCAAAAAAAGGAAAAAAAGATACGAAACAGATAGCAAAAGCAAAAGAAACCTTTAAAAACTGGATAGGAACGCTGCACTCTTCAAAATCTTTCGTTTGGCGGCATTTCTAAGTGCAATTTTTCGCTCCGGGACGGGGCAATCTACAGCACGGGGTATATTGAGTTGAAGTGCACGTCACAGTCAACCTAGTTTTTTGATGCGTTCTTTAGTTTTTACCTCCGTATTAACGCTCCTATTTCCTGGGTGCAGCGCTCATTATTCTATCGCGCAAGTTGGAAAAAGTTGCTGCGAAAACACGGAAAGAAAACAAGTCAAAGTAAAAGGCACTTTTTATCTCGCAAAGAAATCTGCCAAAATCAAAGAAATAAGCTTTGGGACCTCGTCCACATCTTAGACAGAATTAAGAGCTATCAAATGCGCAAGAAAACCGCGTGAAAAGACTCGCGCTAGAAAGAAAACGAGAGATTTTCAAAAACACCGTTTCTGCCAGATTTTTCGCTTAGATTTGAGAAAAAGGTTTTGGGACATTGTCAGCGCGAAAGTAGAGATCAAGAGCTTCACTTTGATGTACAGCTTGCTAGAATTGGTTTCAGAATATTGAATTCGGAGCAGAGCCTCATTTGAAATGTGCATATCTCTTTCAGGCGCAACTGGGTTTTTTTTAATGAAAAATTCATTTCTCGAGCAAATTTGCGAAAATTCTGATTTTACGAAAGAACTGAGCGTTCCGTCATATTTTTGTGTCGATAAGGGATGGAGAGATTCGGGCAGACTAATCAACCTATCCCGCTCAAACTTAAAATAAACTCAAGCACTTATCTTTTGAAACCCATGATCGAGATGTGACATTTCCGCATGCCATCATAATAGTTGCAATTTCACATGATTTACCATTTTATCATTCAAAATGTTGGTTTTTGGCGATTACTTCCTGGATCAACCTAATTTCTTCACGTTTTGCCATAACAAAATTCACTCAGTAAAATCAGTCTCGCTGGGTTTTATTTTCGAACACAGCATTGGATATACACGAAAAATCTTGAATTCTTGATTGAATTTGATTATTATTTGAAATTGAAATCTTTGTGGCTCTTTAGAGAGCTGTTGGATTAGAGGTCTTGAGGTCACGAAAATCACCAAGAAGCTTTATTCTCCAAAATCGTAGGAATTGCTAAGGCGGGTGATGAACCTTCAGGCGCTCACAGTAGTGACTGCGAGTTTCCAAAATAGATTGCGTGGAAAATGCTCTCATCATTAGAATTGCATTTGCTTTCAATGGTTGCCCTTTTTTTATCAGTCAGTGGAAAAATCCTTCAAAGCCCAATGGTGAAGGTGGTCAATCTTCACTAGCTTAATGGTGAAAGCAGGGAGAATCGTCTTCCACTATCGGATGGCTCGGGGATCTTTGTTTACAAGTTCAAAACTGCGCTCTCAATTTTTGTAACGACCGTCTTCTGAATTCTGAATTTTCTCTACTTTTTCATTGACGAAGCTACCACTTTTGATTGTATCAAATATCATTTCTCACAATAGAACGAAAAATTACAGAATATCTAATATTCAGCTCATGGACTCAATTCTCCAGAGCAAGCAGCTATCTCTAGTATGTCTACTACAAGGAGTATTCTATGCGCAGTAGCTGTTGTCACAACTATTCTGGTATAAGGTACGTTTTACGTTTTTGAGGCAGATCATGATAGGCTAGCCTCTGAGCAAATCCGCATAATTCTCAAGATTATGTATGGTGAAGAATTGTTAGCAACAACCTATTCTTAGCCTCGATAAAGACATTAGACCTTATCCTTTACTGTGGTGCCAGTTCATCGATGGAAGTTTGCTTTGACTGCGAAGCAAAAAATTTGATTCTTGTCTAACTCTTATTTATGGAGACTTACGATAAGTTCTCAAGAAAGCTTCTTGGTCAACTTTTTCCCTCAAAAAACCAAAGAAGGATGATTAGTTCATTATATACTTCCTTGTTTCCACATTTGATTGGAGAGTAAGTTTTACCTAAGTGTAGCTATGATGTGCTTCTGCCACAAAATTTCATCCACCGTAGCGCAATGAGCACGCCTATGATGTGTGTTTAGAATAAGCTTATTTTGTATCAATCAACAAACCTTAAAACTTGGAACATGTCACATAGTACTATCAGGATAATTTTGTCCGCAACGTTTGCTGTCAAATTCGGCCACTAATATGTGCTCTTCAACCACAAATTTTTAAGCAGGCAAAAACTGAAACTTTTCGCTTTTCTTTTCTTTTTTTGAACGGACATTATAAAAGTTTGTTTATGAGCTGATAAGCCAGTAGCATACACGATGATTCCGTTTATGGCTTGAGTTGGGCGACTTCGACTTCGATCGTCTTCGATGACAAGAATCCATTTGTTCGTGCCAACCAGCGCATTCTCGTGACATTGCGATCTTGGTCCATGACTTCTCGACCAAGTAGACGCAGTGGACCAGCCACGGTTTCTTCCACCTTGTCTTCTTGATCCTATCCTTGGTGGACGGTATAGGTCAGAGCTAAAGCTAGCCGACCGTTTGCGGGAAGGATGAGGAAAGAAGTGAAATTAACGTGTTACAAATATAACAAGTGCACACCTGTATGCATACAATTTCAACGTGTCAAAACACAACCTTTACGCACAAAAATATGAAAGTGTATAAAAATTTGGAAAATCGGTTTGTTTACAGCGAGTTAACAATATTGAGCCACCAAATTTGGTATGTAGATAGACAACGATGATCAAAAGAAAAGTATGAATATGATAAAATTATGCGAACGAAAGGAGTTTCAAGTGTTTTGGATTTAGGTTGCTCCCGCGCAACCTGGGAGCACGCTGAAGTTGCGCGGGACCAGACAAAGGCACAAATATTCACAATTATCCCCCTTCCTCGCATAAAACATCAAACTTTTTGCACAAATCAATTCTTTAGATCAAGATCTATCTACGAGTACCTTTCTTAGCTCAAGTTTCTCCCTTATGCTTTGTTACGGCTCTTCATGATATAAAACAGCTTTTTTTTACATTTCGCTTTTTGGTGTTTGATTTATTTTTCCTCTTTCAGTTCACTTCTTTTTCTCGTTGCAAACTATTATAAAGAGCTTCTACAAACGCTGCAAAGGGTACCTCGTAACTTTTTTTGCGATGCCAAGGGGAACATCGTTTTTCAATTCTAATATGCCACCTCGTGCCGGACCCTGAGCGCGAACCACCAGCGCTGAAAACGAGCGTTGAGGCGTTTTGGCCTAATTTCGATTAGGATAGACTGTATAATCGTCGTTAAGTCATATGCCTCGCAGGGGTGAGAGAACTTACTTACCCGAAAGGCTTACCCGCAGCATAGCAGTATCAACAGCTAATTAGCATTGTATGCAGAGCACACAGTAGGCTCAATCTTCATCCAGCAAAGCATGAAACCACGATTGTTGTGAATCTGAACTCAAAGTTCAGTAGCGATATTTATCCGATTGAGGTGAGAATTTAAATTTAGGGGTTTTTCATCATGCTATCCCTGAACAAACCAGTGCTTTTGCAACATCTTAACTTTTTGGGTTCGAAGTTTGTTTTACAAATCTTGATGCAAATTTGGTATTATTGGAGGTGGTTTTTTCACACTGTTTCCATATAAAATTTTGCTTTGCTGCTACAGTATGCTGCAGACCAGCTCTGCCTACAACGGTAATAGGTGTTAAATACATAACTGACAATGTAATGCTATTCTAGTGAGTTGGTGCAAAAGTAGTTAGCGTATCTGTTGACTTTGTTTCAGTACAACTTTTTCCCATACCATCAAAGCTCTCTTCATGCTTTATATAATGATGTTTGAAATAGTCTTTTAGCCTCATTCGTGAAAAATCTACAAAGCCTCACACAACCGCATTCAAAACCAGAATATCATTGCATTTACATTTTTAGCCAGAATTCATGCACGAATGTTGGTATTGTTTCGCAAATTTATCCACTGGATGTAGTAGAAAAACTTGTCTACATTACGCACACTGTATTGTACTCCTTGAGATCCTTTGAGCTTGTGATATCGATACCTCAATGTGCATACTTGTTGTAGTCATTCCGTACCTCATGAATTTTTAGTGCAGAAAGCAATCGCTAAACTTCCCCCTTTCTTATAAGCGTGAAAGTAAACTTTTCTGTTGAGAGTTTTTTGCAGAAGTGTTTAGCTACCCAGCACAAAGAAAATTGAAAAAAATCTATAATGTGAGAGTTTGAAGCCTAAGAAAAATATTGGAAAAAGGTGAAATTTATGGATTCTAATTTTCTCCTTTTCGCAAGTCTTTTTGTCAGAGTCCTTCTAATCTTTACCTTACTATCGGCTTGTGACTACAAGATAGGCTACTTATTAGTGTATTAGAATGTATTAGAAAATGTAGATCTCCTAGAAGGTTGAAGCACGTCAATATGAGTGCTCTTCAAACGCTCATTATTTTTGCACCAACCTAGTATAATATGCTTTCGAAAGAAAAAAGAATCTCAAGATCGTTGAGAGCCGGTGAAAATAACAAAATCTGAAAGATTGATAAACTTGGACAGTAACAAAATAAGTTACATACTTCATTTCGTGAATGACTCATGCATCAAACGCGATCACTCGCATGGGTCTTTGCTGTGAGGATGACGGAGGGATGTAGCGCCCGTTCAAAAAAGCAAAATCACTGTTGCACATAAAGTTCGCTTCAAGTTATTTATAAAATGTTTCATCATATGAACTGTTTTACAGATGCAGCGAAAACGGAAGTTTGAAGTATCTTTTACAATTTTCTGCAGTATTTCCAAAGGCACTGTAGATTACCAGGTCTATAATAGTGCCGAAGCTCGAGCTCGCTCGTATCTGTATTTTTAAGTCGTATGTGTGAATAAAGACGTTTTCTATTTGAGCGGGTGAGCCGTCTTGTTATGTCTCTGAGAATGAAGGGTGATAATGATTAGGAAAGTGCTCATAAAACAGATTAGTTATGCTCGAAATCACAGGCGAACGGATCAAGCGTTTTCCACAATCGTATAGCAATGACGGGCGCTAGGCTACTGCTCTTTCACACTTCCCACCAAATAGGTTCCTAGTGTGCTACTGCGTGCCTTTGAATGACAGCACTTTTATAGCAAAATTATCCACCATAAAGTATAGTTACACCGCCTTCGAATTTTATAAACTTCTAAAATCCTAAAAACCTTCTCAGAAGTTTTTTGGGACGTGTCTCACCTCATATGCAAAAATTCTGCCCCCTCCCCCTTCTTGGAAGAATTTCCCTTTGACACTGCGGCATGGCTAACAATTTTGAGCAATAAAAGGCAAAAAGTATGAATTTCGAACTAAAAAAATGGCCTTTTCTGTAGGGTTAGTGCCATTTGATGAGGATACTCATTGTGTTGATGAAAGCAATAAAAATCAAAAATTGACTTTATCTGGATATTACGACGATAATTTCAAAAAATTCTTTGCATCAAAACTCTTGCAATAATGCAGATAACAGTGCGCCCACATAAAGCACAATTTTTCATGACTTTTTTTTCGGTGCATTACAAGTTTTTTTATGAGTAAATAACAATGGCAAGAGTTACATCGTCCAACTGGATGAGCATGAGTAAGAGTCTGCCATGATGTTGTACTAAATTCCGAGTCATTAACGAGTCATGTAAATCATCTGAAAGCAGGGGAGGTGCTTACTGGGGACATGGCGGAAAAGGAAAAGAAAACATTGTAGACTAAACTTGGAATACTTGCGACTTTGCCCATCCTTTAATTATTTATATATCTGTTTACTAGTGGCGTACCCAGGATTTCGGCTCTGGGGGGGGGGGGGGGGGGGTTAGTGGCGCTACAAAAAATTTTCAAAAATTCTAAAACATATTTTCATTATTTACAAGTGCAGACATGTCACTTGCACAATTTTATAACTCATGTAAGTAACTTGTAACTTTCAAAATTTTCGCGACCCGTTCATCGGGGGAGGGGGCGCCCCCCCCCCCTCTCTCCTCGGTATGCCACTGCTGTTTACTACTTACAAATTCAACACTGAACTTCGAAAGGTGCGCTAGAATAAAAAAAATACGACTCAACCTGCTTTTAGCACTCATCAGAAAATAGCACCTTTCCAACCACAAAAAGCATTTGTTAGAGATGGAAGCAATGAGTTTTTTCATCATTTTTGGTATCTACAGCATATAACCAACCAATCAAATTTTGGTTGGCACTTTTTTAGATAAAACAACGTTTATTTGAAACTCCTCTAAATTTACAAAAAATTTTGAGAAATTTGCATTTGACCAAGCGACTTGCAGAGTTGATCGAAAACTATGAGCGCCAATACAATTTGAATAAGTGATTAAAAGTGACACTTTGCTTTGTCCTATTTCACTTACGAAATTAACCATGACACTTCTGCTTTCTACATCAATTTATGGACGGTCTCAAAGTCATTGCTTTCAAAATCTTTTCCTCAAAAAGTGAAATAGGGCTTACATACTTCATTCCCAAGTTTTATTGTGAATTCAACGATTTCAATCAGTCAGTAAAAAAGTGTTACTTCCACCTTAAATCAGAACTAGTGATTCAAATGTAAACACATGATTGTGGACAGAGTCAAAACTTGATGTGGATAGTATATAGATAAAATCTCTTGATGCTACTATGCACTGCTTTCTATACAAGCGGAAAAGACTAAGAAGAATTTTCTCTTACCCGACCATTTCAACAGATTTGGCAAAAAAGAAACTTTCGTTTGTTACGAGTACTGAAAAATGAACAGAATTCCAATCAAAGTTTTCGATCAACGCAGAAACATCATTGAAGAGTGAAAAGACGTAGAATTCGTAGAAGACGAGGGATCCGCGTTTCTTCATGAAATAGATGATCTGCGTTTCTTCATGAAATAGATGATGCCCTCGTAGTAGCATCGTTTATTTTCGGCCGGCTTCCCCTGGGTGTTCCACCAACTTTTTCGAAGACCACCATCTGAAAGTAAAACATTGTACCTGCATTTTCAATGATACTGCATAAAAAACAAATGTGTTATATTAGGTAGGTCACAAAGTCCGTTCGCCAGATTTTCAAAAAATCATAACTTCCTTTCTTCGTTGTGGAATTTCTCAGTTTTAATTCTATTTGAAGGAGGAAACCTTTCTCTTTACAGAAGTGCCTCTAAAATGAAATGGCCTGAGAAAGTTCGAGAGTTAGAAGCTGTTGAATGAAATCAGTCAAGATGGGCACTTTTCAAGCTGGATCACGAAAAATTCTGAAAGTGTATTCATTCGACAAAGAAAATTACTCTTTACTATAGCACCTTTTTCACGATTGAAAACGGAAAAGATCGAGAGTTATAAGCAAGTAAAGGGAATTACTTAAATTTTGCAATTTTTGAGCTTGCTCAAAATAGCGCAAAAATGTCACGAAGGCGGGAAAGCTATGAACACGGGTTTTGTGACCTTCTCCTTTCAGCTGAATAAAAATCGTACCAATCGAGAGCAGTTTTGATTTTTGTAATATTTTAGGATTTTCGGGCCTTTTTCACAAAATTAAAATCGCGCTCGATTCTTACTACTTTCACTTAGTTAGAAAGAAAAGGTCGCAAAACCCATGTTCATAGCTTTCCCGCCTTTTTTGTGACTTTTTTAGGTTATTTTGAGCATGCTCAAAAATTGCAAAATTGAAATAATCTTTATTTGCTTATAACTCTCGATTTTTTCCGTTATAATTCATGGGAAAGGAGCTATATTAAAAAGCATAATTTTCTCTATCGAATAAAAACACTTCCAGAATTTTTTGTGATCCAGTTTGAAAAGTGCCGATCTTGAGTGATTTCATTCAACTGCTTTTAACTCTCGAACTTTCTTACGCCATCTCCTGAGAAAAATATTGTTGTAAAGAGAAAGGTTTCCTCTTTCAAATAGAGATAGAAATAAGAAATTCCATCAAGAAGGAAAGAAGTTATAATTTTTTGAAAATCTGGCGAACGAACTTTGTGACCCACCTAATACTTATAGAGAAAATTGATATACGTTTCTGCTTAGCTCCTATTACTTTTTTAAAAACATCCAGTCAGGGAACAAGTTAGGTCGCATTTAGCGCCTCAAGTTGAAGGGATGGCTGTCAAAAATTCGCAAACATCAACCAAGAGCAGCTTTAAGCCAATGATAATTATGCGTTTAATTTCATACAAGGCTCAGCACATGTGGCTTATCGGGCAGGCTGGATATCGTTTTGGGGGTGAAATCAAGGGAGTATCGTCTTGAGGGGGTCCGAGGCTGTGTTTCAAAAAATAATATATTTTTCAGCTCAGAATGGTAAATCTGATAATATCGTCAATCGCTCAGTGCAATTTGGAGCCTTAGAAGTCGTGAGAACTTTTCAGAACCTTTAGGCCACGCACAATTTAGGACTGTACTTCTACATAAAGCGACCTAAGTAAAAAAAACTTTGAGAACATATTCAAATTTACACTCAACAACCTTACGAATTGTTGCAACCTCAATTGATACAAAACCTACCCCATCGCTATTGTCACGTAAATCACGCAGTCAGAAGATAATACTCTCAACTATTATTCACAGCTCCACAAACACTCTCCCCCTTCTTTTACTCAACCTTTTCATCTTCTGATAAAGCGCTCATCACTGCCCTACCAATCCCATTCTCCGCTAACTCTACAGTTTCCCACTCCATCATGCTTTCCGTGCAAGCACGGGAGTTTAAAAATGCGCCTCGAGAAAACAAAAGGCTTGCTTACAGCAAAGAGAAAATGATATGATTCCGAAGATGGTGTGTAAATACGCACAGGAAGTTAGAATTATGTATGATTATAGAAAAGTTATGTGAACTTAGGTCATGGCAAACATTTTTTTTCGAAATTAGGTGGCTTTTCAGCGACCTGGATAGCCACTTGAGTGGCTTGCAAGGGATGGTTACTTGGTGACCCGTGGCTTCTGAAATGAAAGGTACCCCATTAAATGCATCCTGAGGCGCTGATTCCAAATCTGTTTTGGTATCTGCCGTGCGTTCTTCCGAAAAAAGTCAGGAACATTTCTTGCCACTCAAATTTGCATTGTTTTGATGACAGAAATCACCAATATCGTTAGCATGTTCACTAAGTACTACAAAAAAGCGCCCAAATAAAAAAAGCTTTACACATTAAGCTCAGAAAAACTGTCTCCTATATCAGAGTCCAAAAAGCCTGAATACTGATGATTCTGATTGCCTAGATCTTGTGAAGATAATATAGAAAAAGTCCATAGCTTCATTCAGAGATTCGCACAGCAGATGAACACAGATTTGAAATCAGCGTTTCGAGGCGCATCTACTGTATACATCCCATTGCAAAAGACCACGATCACCAAGTATCCTTTCCTTGTTAGACATATATAGGTTGTAACCAGTGGCGTACCGAGGGGAGGGGGGGGGCGGGGGGGGGGGGGGCGCGCGCCCCCCCCCCCCCCCGAGAATGGGTCGCGAAATTTTGGAAAGCTACTTATATGGGTTGTAAAAATGTGCAAGTGACTTGTTTATTTTTGTAAATAATTAAAATAATTTTTAAAAATTTTTAAAAAATCAAATTAGCCTTGTAAAAAATTTTTTTCGGGGGCTTGGCTGACGCCACGCCCCCTTTTTCCGGATTTTAGGGGTCGGGGACCCGCAAAAAAACTGATAAGCATCCCAAAAAATTTTTCGGAGTGCGTGGCTAATGCCAGGCACCATCATTAGAAAATTTTTTTTGTCGCCCCCCCCCCCCCGAGCCGAAATCCTGGGTACGCCACTGGTTGTAACATAAGCCTTAAGACACTCTAACTTCTTACGGCGTTAAGTCGTGCGCTTTGCACTCTTAATGGGGCCCCAGAGTAATAAAACAGAGCAAGCTCTACAATGGTGGCGGAACTTCGCTCCAGCCTTGAACTACTGTAGATATGCATCCAAAATTTGAGTCGTACTGAAAATTCAAAAAGTCGCGAAAAGTTTATATCTTCGTTCAAGAAAAAATCCTCCGCATCTCCAACTTGCTCATGCAGAGAGCACCATACCAGACACTATGTACCTTTGCTGTATTTCTTCTTCATCTATGAAATGAGAAGACGAAATTTTATGTTCATACAAAAACGAAGCTGTGCTCTCATGGCCCGGCACGAGTCCGTTTCTAGGCTTTTTGAAAACGAAGTCCCCCCTGATTTTCGAAAATTCTACGAAGTCCCCTTTGATTCTTGCTCACCCCCCCCTCTTGTTGGTGGTCCTTGCACTTAGTTGACAAAACCATTTACCTGCTGCGAGCTGCGAATCTCGCGATTTCAGGTCAAACTCTCAAAAAAAATTACAACCCACAAACTTTTGCTTCAAAAGTCCTACATGGTTACAGAACGATCAAAATAGATCACGGGCTGAAGAAGAAAGAAGATGGAGGAAGGAAATGGGAGAAATCATTAAAATTTTGAAGAAAAAGCTAAAAATGAAAATGAAAATTCAAAAGGAGAGGATGCAGAAAAGTTGACGCTGGGGCATATCTAATGAGGCGATTTTCGGAAAAAGAGGATAAAAAAACGACGGACAGGAGGTGATATGTAAATGTTTCTATGCTCAGGGATAGATTCTTGGCCGGGGCATCCGTCCATGCTGAAAAGATCCAAAACTTATGTGAAGTGACGGAAATATATGCTCCAGACGATCTCAGATCGTCTGGTGGCCGTCTGGAGACGATCTAATTATGGAAAAGGTATTACTTCACATAAGTTTTCAAATACTTTTACGTAATCCTTCCGCAAATAATTTTTTAAAATATAAGGTTCAATTTTGGTGTCATATGATTCTGTGTGCGCTGTAAACAAGCAATTTGTTTACTTAAGCCTTGCTTTCAAATCGCGCGCACTTTTTGCCGTACACGATAGGGCATGTCAATCGTGTGATAACCTGTCCGAAAAGCTTGTTGACTGAATGGCGCTTATTCCTTGTGTTCAGCCCCGACTCGTCAAAAACGAAATCCCCTTTGCTTTGCTCCAAAAACGAAGTCCAGCCTGCTTCCAGACGATCTGTGCCGGGCCCTGTGTGCTCTTTCCACTCATGTAATGGTACAATTCCTTATAAGTATAACCTCAGGTTTTCAGCTTTTCACAAGCCCTAGTTTTCGAGAAATATTTGTTTAGCATGGAACACTTGAGTGAGGAAAGCTAATTTCAATTTTTGAGAATTAGGGCTTTTGGAAAGCTGAAAATTTACGGTTGGCTTCTAAGGGTTTGTGCTATACAATTACATGAGTGTAGTCCAGAGAACATATAAAATAGAGGGCTATAACTAGGCTTACAACAAAGTTCATGAATACAAGACAATGCCAAGGTTTCATGAACAGAGAACATATAAAATATTACAAGAAGATATGGATTTTTCGCGGTTTTTCCCGCCTTCAGTACGACTCAGATTTTAGATGCAAACTTGTGGGTCGAAGCTGGTGGGAACTTTTGCATACCATTTTGTTTGCTTTGCTCTATCGAATGATAACCTGGATTCCTATTGAAAATGCGTACTTTATGACTTATCGCCGTAAGAAGTTAAAATGTAATAAGACTTATATTACAACCTAATATTTTTCTCTAATCACATAATTTTCTCATACTTTTCACATAGCAGTGATCTACATTCAAAACCCTAAAGATGAGTTCTTGAGCGTCCACAAATCCCTCCTTCTTGCATAGTTATAGCCCTCAATGTATTTTGAACGGCGGCAGTCCTGCTCCAAGCGTGGTGGTGCGCGCCGTACGCAGCATGTTGCCAATCCGGAGAACACGAACTTCACTTCGTTAAATTTTATCAGTTTTAGTTGTTTTTGAGTTTTTTCTATTATCTTCCGTTGTTTATGGCTGATCTATTGATTAGCGTCATGGAGGATGCCGTATTTTTGTGCCAGTCTGCGAGGAGTTCGTTCTCGAAAAGTGAAAAAAAAAGCACCACGTGCCGAGCCCTGATTGAATAATGGTTTTCCATGGTCCTTTCAACGATGTAAACGCCTTTAGCTGCTCTTACAAATAGTGCCTTTCCAGTCAATCTGACCATTGACAAATTACTTGCTGCCGGTAATGACCAGTGAATTCGCTGCAACCCGCAAAACGCTTTTCAAAAAACTCACAAATATGGCCGTGTAACATACTACCTGCTATGAGGGCAATCCAAAAGATCCGAGCCAGTATGGTAAAATGATGCAGCGCAAGTGTTTGTTGCACAGAGAACCACAGAAAAAGCCCGTCTACGAGCAGTGTTATTACTCATTAAAGGCAGCGTCCAGGCAAATCAGGACATATAGGGGTCTCACGGTAATTTTGGGGCTAACTAAGCCACTGCCCAAGTGGTAGCCCAGGTAGTGCTTTAACGGATGAGATGTTCGCCTCGAAACTGGACCCCGCGATCGTATTTCGCATGGATTCATGACGCAAAGCGTGGGTCCTTGCGCGAAACTGCCATGAATCCATGCGAACACGATCCTGGGGTCCATTTTGGAGGCGTATATCTCGGCCATTAGTGGGTCATCTGCGCTGCCGCTCGGGCAGTGCTTTAGTTAGGGCCCCATTTACATTCCACGTAAAATCCCCAAAGCTTTGCCTGGACGCTGCCTTTAAGAAAAGGGGAGATGCAATCATCAAATTTCTCTTTTCTTATCTACTACTCGAACAACAATGAGGAGCGATAGAGTGTAAAACAGTTGAGTTAACGTAGAATTTAAATCAACGTGAAGGATTATATGCGTTAACGGGAGATGTTTTGAATAAGGCCTAAAGCATACCTCGCGCGATTCAGCCGAATCGCGATCTCAACGCGATTGGCGATTTGCCAGATATGTCCACAAGTACTAGGTTTTCCGAAAATTCTGTCCGATTTGCAGTTTTTCCGATCAAAAATGTTATAACTCTCTTCAAAATCAACATTTTTGCATAACTTGAATTTTGTTGGATTAAGCGAGGTTACATCTACATATAAAGAAAGCAAGCGAGAGAGAAGAGAAAATTTGAAGAATTTTGCAAAGTTTCCTTCAAAACCATCCAATTTGACGTACTAATGCTTCCATATAAGGATACGCGGACTTATTTGGCTGCCACTATTGAGTAGCATATACTTTAGAGATTCTTTCATGGCTGAGAGTTTCTGCTATCCCTGCTGCACAGAAATTTTTACGAGCAATCAAAAAAATCCATTACTTGAGCCCCCCTTTGCGCGCGCAAATAGGTCGACTTTCTGAGATTTGATGTTTCTTGCTATCACGAACTAAGAAAGCTATCTGGAGAATGGTCCCCGCTTGCTCTCGCTTTACTCTATCGTATGCATTATTGAGTGCACTACCGTTCGCTATACGTAGATCCTTGTTACTTTTTGAACAACTGAGTTTGTCTTCCACCTTTGAGAAAAATCGAAAAGTAAGACGTTAGCTTTTTTAGAGTTGAAGCGTGCATGTGTTGGCCCATTACACCCTGACCCATTATAAAATATTACATACTTAATTTTTCGTATACTGCCGGATTTCTGTTCACGGAAACTTTTTCTTGAGCATAACTGCACTTGGATAGTTTGGCTTCAGGGCTTGGAATTTCATCACCGAAAAGATTTTTTGTCAAGCATCAGTGAGGACTAGAAAGAACAGCAAAAGTGCTTTCATATAATGTTCCTAGATCTGCAACAAGCACAAAATCCAAGAAACTAGCTGCGTTCAAGGCAATTAGAAATCGGACGGGACTTTCGGAACAACGTTGAACAACGTAGTATATCATGCGCGGCTCTCATTGTCAGATGCATAAACGCGTAGCTCTTGTAAGTTGTTGCAAACGGATCAAATCCCGCGTAAACAAAACGCACTAACCAATTATGTGTGGTCGTTCCAGCGTCAACTCGCGTAGCGACTGGAACCGCGTGGGGTACGCCTTAGGCCTAAGAGTTAATTTCGCTCAGCTAAGGTCACATGAGCAAGAGGCCCGTAGTAAAGCTGCCTCACTAGATCTCAACTGAATGAAATTTCAGTTAAGGTTTCGAATCAGCTTGCCTCAGTCAAGCAATTGATTGATTATGCCAACCATCCACGATGATATACAGTCGTTTTCAAAACGTATCGGTCTTTTCTACCTTATGGCCTTCCCGCCTCAACATGACGTGGATTGGTGAGGCGTCTCATCGCTTCGGGCTTGCTCCACATTGCTTTTCTCGCCACGCCACGCCAAACGAGCGTCCGCTACGTGGCGTAGGCTAGAAGCGAGGCGGCGCCGCACTAATCCACGTCATGTTGAGGTTGAAAGACATACGGTAGAAAAGACGAATACGCATTAAAAACGACTGTAATTGATAACCCACGTCCATGCAAGTATACGAGTAAAACCGCGTCCTCCAAACATTCATATCTAAGTGATTGGTATAAGCGGAGGAGATGTGGTCCACTTGTTAAATCTTGTTAAGTATGCATCAAGATGCAGAGCCCACCTAAAAGTGATTTTAGGAAAATGTATGATGAAGCACAGATATGCACTATGGCTCCACACTCCGTATTCCTTAGACATGTTATGTATTGTAAGTTACTCAGGAGTAATTTACGGAAATTTCTCTGCGTATCATCATTAACACACTATTCAAATCAAACGTCGTCTAACTGAATGTGAACTATAAGTAAGGTAGACGACCTCGTCAGAGATGGACCGTCAACTGAAATTTCATTTTGCATTCTTACAGCATGGGAAGGAGGTTGTCTTCATTTCGTCTCAGTTCAGTTTATCTGAACTGAATTAGCTTTACTATGGGCGAAAGATTTACAAGCACACTTATAAATAAGAAAAAGGAGCGCCTAAGATTTGTCGGAAGTCATCAGGAAATGTCCTCTCTTTATGACAATCACTGTTTTAGCCGTACCCTGTTAAAGCGCTTTGAACTGAAAACAAAGTTTATCCAAAATTTGCATATTTTGCAGTAAAAGAGATTTGTGAACGTTGACCCGATGTCCCGAATAAAATAAAAAAAATATTTTTTTCCGCTCACGAGCTCCAAGTACATGTTTGCTATGAATTGAGAAAATCTTTCGCTTATGATATATGCTCCATATGAGAATTACTGTTTCTTGAACACGTCACTTACATCATCATCATCGCTGTCAGGATCCTTCTTCACTACGCTTATTTTGGACCTGAAAATATAAGAGAAGGTTAAAAAAATTGGTAACTGACACGAAACCAAGGCAAGGAGAGACAAAAAAAACTGAGGCCGGCACCAAAACCCAAAAACTTTGAATCACCAATACACCTATATGCACCGAAATCGATTTCCCATCTTTGCGGTCCTCGATCTCTGCAGCGACTACATTTGAGTTTCCAAAAATTAAGCAAAGGCAGACTTCTTCATAGCAAAACACGAGTCCCAATAAAGCAAAAGCACCAGGAAAGTCTCTAGCCCAAGCATCGAAATAAACCTTTTCTTGCCAAAAATCCAGTAGAGAAACGGCTGCTCTTCTTTTGAACCCAGAAAGAAGACAGATTTTTCTCCTGTGGCATTTCTGTAACTCCAACTTTTGAAATCTTGAAATACAAACTGTGCTGATTTTTCTCCTCTATGTTTTTTAGGAATTTCCTTATTTGATTTTCCTTCTTGGATCAAATTTGTTTAAAAAGAGTGCTGCAAGCAATTCAAAAATTGATGTTAGGAAGTGCATAGACACCATCAGTACGCTCATTTATTGATATTGTAATGTTTGCACATATTCGAAAGGCTACATATAAAAGTGTAGATAATATAAATATGTATAGTTCCGGCGCATTATCGAAGTACTCGAAATGATATGCATTTTGCTTGATAAAGTCGTTTAAGCAACGATGGACGTATTGATAAAACATATGTGAAAAATAATAGAGTCACTCCAAGACCACTATGATTTTGGATGTAACATCTTTAGAGATTTCACCTTTCAAATTTTGAAACGGGCTCAAACACTGAAATCAGTGGTATTCTGGATGTACGACTGAGCTGCTAATTCATGAGGAGAAACGGACTGAGATTTCGTGACGAAACACTCGATATGTTTTAGTTGATCTCGATGAGATTTCAAGAAACGAGTACTGCGGTATAACAGTCTAACGACCGAGACGTTGTCCAAAAAAGAAGTTTGTTTGCGCTGCGTCTGTGACTGACTTGCTTCAGTAGAACATTTACAGAACTGCAAAAGCACCTTGAGATTTCTGATTTTTGACTCAGGTGCTGTAACTTTTGCACAGAACAATCAATGACTGTTCATAAAAACTTTCTGTGATTCAAGAAATCAATTTTGGATTCTAGGGATAACCAGCAATGCTCTGCTAATATTCTCTGCTTATTAGGTTAATGAACTTCAAATTGAATTGTCGCCGACGCAAAATAAGGATTTAAGAACCTCAGAATAATGATTATGATCGAAATTGCATCTATGCTCGAACAAATTTATTCAACTCAGAGTTTCGGATATTTTGACCTGAATCTGATAAGGGCAATATCAAAAATCACAATTTGCTCTGAGTAAAAGCCTTCAAATTTTTGAGTTCTGTCTGAGTCATTGCCACAAATGTAAGAATGCGCTTGCAGCTCTAAGCTTCATCAGCAAGCGATTGATCTGCGACGTTTTTGTAGAATTGACGAGAGCGCAAGCGAAGTCTAGAATTTTGAGAAATTCTCTGAATCATTAAAAAGTCTGCAGCACAGCGATGTGCTCTTCTAGAAAAATTACTTAACCATCCGACGATTTCGTTGCGATAAATACGTCGTAATAAAGCAAATCCAACGCGTGTCCTTTGTTTTCAAGAATTAGGAGCTCAGCCGTAGAGTGATTTACCCGTTCTAGAGTAAACGTATTGAAAATTCAACATATAGTCGCAACATTGAATACAAGTCTGAATGGGCTGCCCTTTTCCACACAATTTCATCGTAATTTCTTCTTACAAGTTAACCGTGTCGAGTCGAAGTGGCCTTTCCAGATAAGACCCATACTGCTTTGAACAGCATTAATCGGTGATTCCAAATCTGCTTTCCAAATCTGCCAAGCGCCTCTGGACGCCGAGTTATGCTCTTTTTTCAGTTCAAAAAATTGAACGCAAAACTGAAGCAAAGTCGCCCAAATTTACTCAAATGGTCCAGTGTCAAGTATCAAAGCTGCTTATGCAATGGATACATTTTATTTAATATGCTAATGCTTAGCATTGCTTTATCTGAGCGCTGGAAAGATTGTAACAATCAATTTTACCTAAATTTTGCATTCATTTTTCGTTCCGAAGAACGGCCATAGCTCGACGTCCAGAGGCGCTTGGCAGATTTGGAAGGCAGATTTGGAATCACCGCTTAATACTCTTCAAAGCAGTATGTGTCTCATCTGGGAAGGCCACTTCGACCCGACACGGTTCCCTTGTTAGATGTTACAATAAAGCTGCATTCAGTAACACGAGGAAAGCAAAAGGAGAAATCGATTTTTGATTCGTCTACAGTACCCCACAAAATCCCTAACATCAAACTACTACAAACGATCGCCCGGATTCATTTGCTACCTTAACCATGATGGTCTTCGGTCTATATACCAGGGTGTTCCAGTGTTGGATGTAGAAGATGGCTCTTTGCTGTTTTTTCCATCATTTAGCATTCGTAAAAAAGTTGAGGCAAATGGCTCTTACCTCACTTTTTCATCGATGGAGTTGGCAAGAGTTCTCACATGGAAAAGTTGCACCATTTTTAGCAGCAGAAGTAAGAGATAAGCTGAGTATGGCTGAAAATCGAAATTAACCAAAGTACTTGCTCTGTATTAGTTGTACATGAACTGCTTGCACATGAGTCTCGACGAAAACATATTTGACAGAATTTACCAAAAAAAACTTACGTAGTGAGTCCTGAGGTAAACCTCGCATGGGGTCATCCATCTACCTAAAAATCATCTAGTCAATCATGAATAGAAAAAAGGCACGACCACATTATAAAATAGAAATTACCAGTCCTGTTGACCAACGACTTTTCGTCACAGTACGTGTAAGCGTATCCATCGACAATTATGAATATCACCGAGCAGACGAACGTTACACACTAAAGATATGAACTTCACTCATAAGCTTACAATACTCTTTGCTGTTCCGATGGTCGTCAAAAATCGGATACTGCACACAGATACTACGCACAAAACTTGAGTTTACCGCGCCGTATTACCATTCTGCTGATATATTCGTGTCCAACAAAGCATTAGAATCATGAGGCCTACCCTTTGATTCAAGGGGTTGGCGGCTGAGAGGCGTGGTTTCGAGGCCTAATCAAAGCCAAGGAATGATCAGATAGCACGCGCGCGAGTGAGACGCAGGCTGCGTAGCGGGTGCGAGCGGTCGCCTTCCAGCCGCCAATCCTGTTTAAACAATAATTATCCAAATAATGCTTCTACTTCATTTTTTCAACGATAAATCACGCTAAGCAAAAAATTTAGTAGGAAGAACCTCTATAATAATGAGAAGATACGGCATCGGGATTCGAAAAGATGTGCGCTATTTAATCTTCAAGAACTCAATTGCTTCGATGTCTTTTGTCAGCTTTAGATTCTGTAAAGCTGGCTTTACTTAAACCTACAGTTTGGAGCGAATCTCCAATATTTCTTCGTTGGTGTAGGATTACGGTGGGGACTTTCAGCATACGTCATGGTTAACAGATAGTTTGACGAAAAATTTCAAAAGAATAGAAAATATTGTGTATTAGGGTTTTCAAACATGCTGATTTCATTACGCAAATTTTTACAAGATTTTCGAGCTTTTTTGCTGGTGTAACCACGTCTTCGAAAAGAGCAGATTACTGTTTTCTTGGCATAACATAGAATTAGCTTTGATTCTAGACAGAAATTGGCTCTGATTAGCCTAGTATAAACTGGCTCGTTTAACTCCTTTTCGAGGCTAAATGTGACTGTCTTTGCTTGAGAATCGTCTTAAAAGTTCCTCGTAATCCCACAGTAACGAAGAAGGATCGGAGATTTCCTCCATACTGTAGATTTAAGTTGGATCCAGCTCTACGAATGTACAGATCGACAAAAGTTATTGTAGCATAAGAGTTATTAAACATTAAACAGTGTGTACATGTTTTTGGCCCTTGTGGTGCCGGGATTTTATGGTAACGTGAACAAATAGTTACTCCTGGAATGTCGGCATTTTGTGCTCGCAGATTGCTGGCAGTACAGGCATGGGTGCTTCACGAGCAAAATCTACCGCAAAATTCCGTCACCGAAAGGGCATTATAGTTACTGACAAATCTACTCAACTGTGCCATATGTCCTTACTAACTGAAAACAGTCATGGCTAACAATAGCATTCAAGCTGTGTTTACTATAAAGTACATATATGTTTGGAATGTTTTTACAATTAGCTTGTCAATAGAATCGGTTGATTATTCAGCAGCAACCTTTAAAAGGTCTCATACATGAACAGCAGCATGAAACACAAACTTTTGTTTGAGCAGAATGCACAACTGAGTTCACACTCGAATAGAAAAGAGTACAGTTCTTCCAAACAAGCTGTCCAAACTTCGCATTCAAACCTCTCACGAGCTATTGTCTGACCTTTTATGAACGATTCCTGCTATCTACAACATCTCTCGGGATTAATGAGAAAAAATCGAGGTGTCTGCCGAAAGTTGCGTCACACCGCCACCTTTGGTCGATAGCGGTGCTTGTCTGGGTACGGTAGGTATACGGTAACGGATCTTCAAATTTTTGTTGCTCACTGTGGGTCCTCAGTGTGCTGATTATATTGAGTATAAATAGCAGCTGAAAATTGGCTGCTTATTGTACAGCACCGTACATAGGCCATTTTTTATAGATGATGCGTATCGAATGAGCTGAATGGTACCCCTGGATTTACGCGGTTTCGGGAAACTCGGCTGCAGTTTTTTTAATCACAACTTACAAGGGGTGTTCTGCTTTCATAATTTTCCTCTTAAATTACTCAGACTACATGACTCACGTAGATGGTCTTTATAGAATGTGCACTGAAAACCTACTCAAACTGCAAATGACATTGAGGTAATCTACGAGTTACAGGGACTATACAAAAAGATTACAAGCGAGGGTCAAGATTAGCTTTGTTTCTGAAACTAAGCTATTGAACCCATCTGAGCAGCAACTTGTTCGGGGTGAGCACTCTAGCAAATCAAATTTCGAATAACCTCAACCCATCTGAGCACTACAAACAGAATTCTGTGGTTTTCTCAACAATGAACCTCGAGAGTTGACAGTGAAAATAAGAGTAGCTGACGTACCCATATGACGTAACATGGCACGAATAGCAGAGTTCTGTTGGTCACAATGCCAAAAAGTGCTATCATGAGAGCGACACTCCAAAGCACGAGACATACTGTCCAAACCGCCACATTGCCAAGACCTGCAAAGTGGGGCATAGAAAAATTGTTTTGTTGAGCAGTGTCAACGTAGTTTTGTATTATGAAAAGACTGAATTATGATGTATTCTGTGACGAGTCTGTGTGAGCGAATCATCTCCACACGCATTTGGATAAGTATATTATTGTGACTTACCAAAAGCTCCAGCTCCATATCCGGCATTGATGACTACGATGCAGGCATCAAGAAGGATAAGTAGTACCGCTGTCACCTAGAAAGCATAGCGATTAGACAATAGCAAAAGCCGTAATCTTATTTGTTGGCACACAGAACTGAGAAAAGCACAAAAGATGTGCAAAGTGCCATATCATCAAACGCTGGCACATCACACGTCAGAAGAGTGAAAAGACGCAATATTTGGTATTCTTTACATCGTCGGTAGTTCATGTCTTTAGCTTTAACGCTACAGTGTAGAGAAAAAAAATTGAAGTGGGCATTCCATAGCCTTGTTAAAACTTTCTTCTATCATTTAGGTTCACCCACGGTAGTTGGAGAATTTGATAGAGGTAAAACGCTTTGGGAAATTTCGAAAAGATATTAAAGAACGAAGAAGCTCTGGCTTTCACAAGCACTACGGTAAAAAGTGTTTTGCATTCAAAACACGAAAGGTGAAGAGCTTTTTCACCTACCTTTGCTGAATGCAGGGGATCGACGGGAGGGGTTGACGGCTCCGACACCGTCACAGTTGGGGGCTTTACAGCCATAGGCAAGCTCAGAAATTGAGTAATTTTGACTCTGAAAGAAATTTGATTACACTGTAATATACTTTACATTAATAGCGATGATGGACGTCTTAATAAGCAAAGGACGGAAACAAGCTACTCATGTTCTCTAAATTTTGTAAAACCTTTCGAAATTTAGAGAACATGAGCATAAATTGCAAAAGTGCAAAAATTGCATTGCACACAAATTGCGCAGATAAATTCTAGAGATTATGGAATGGTTCTCAGATAGAAAGGCAGGAAAGTAAGCAGTTTTCTTTTTACTGCTTTCCTTTTTACTTCAATCCTTAATACTCTTTTTTACTTTTACAACTACCTTTTTACTCCTTTCACCAGTACTCTTATGTACTTTTTTGACGAAGAGTCCGATGGGGAACTGCTTAGATGACATAAACAAAACTGGATAGATTTTTTGTTCATGGATGGAAGAAAACTACTTTAAGTTTCTGAGTTTTACGTGAGATGAGTAAGTTTATTTTGAAATCCTTCAGAAAAGGATTGATTTTATTATTATGAGGTGCTTTCCCATGTCGTCAAAATCACACGTGCTCTTTCTTTAGAAACACTTCATATTTACTACGTTTGGATGACATTCGAATGGTAGAAAGATTTTGAAAAACGATCTTTACCTTCTGAACGCGGCAGCAGCTGTTGCCTTTTCTGAATAAAAGATTGGTGACCACCTTCCCTTGTGGTCGCAGCTACATACGAAAGTCGCAACTGCTGTTGAGACACGAGTTAATTATGTTACAATTTCTATGTATTTGCGAAGCTGTACTGGTTGTGCACTTTTTTGTAATCGCAACCAAATGTCATGTGAAAACAGCACGTAACCTTCGTTCTAGTTAAGTCCAATATACAGGTGTCCTAAAAAGATGTGCACCCTGTTTGACCGTTGATAACTCTCTTGTTTTCATGTCTTTTGCCGAGCCTGAGGTACAATTCCTTAGAGCGAGGTTCAACTTAGATTTACAGTGTGGAGCGGCTTATTAGCAGCTCTTCATTACTGTAGGATTACGGTAGGAATTTCTAGGAGGATTTTAAGCCATTGAAAGCGGTATTTTGCCTCAGAAAGTAAGCCAAAGAAGCCAGAAACTTTTAACTGGGTTAAAATGGCAGGCATCTTTTGCTGTTGCAGACTTGGAGGATAAATTGAAGAGAGATTTGAGTGTTTAATGTATCTGCAGTCTCTCTCCAAACGACTGTAAAACAAAATCGTTTGGCGTTTTCGTCTTGAATCGCGACGTCGCGTACGAAGAAGCAGCCTAGATTCACTTTACGCAGGATAAAAGCCTTATTTCTCAAAATAAGTACAATGTCCGCATTCAGAGTTTCAAATAACCCCGCTAAACAAAGTTTCAGCCAAATTCAAATCAAAATTTCACAATGTCGTGCATCGGACAAATAAGTAGTATTTTGTAGAAACACAGAAGCACTGAATCCCTCAAATGGTGACTGAATGTTTGCTTTGATGTACGGGATCAAGCTCTATCGTAATACAATTTTTCCCCAAAAACTAGAAAGGGAAGAATATCAGCTTAAGTTGGCGAGTGAAGACGAAGAACCTTCAAACGTTGAATTCAAATCTCTTTTGTTTTCTTGCGGAAAAACTCTCCAAAAAAGTAGCGTGAATATTTTCAAAACTGCTCACCTTTTAGTAGCTTGAAATTAGCGATTATCTATACAACACCTAAGAGGGTTTCCGCTTACTATGTCCATTCGCAGTAGTCAATATAATTGATCCAAATAATTATCCACTTTCACGTGTTTTTGTACAACTTTTCTCTAATTCTTTCAAGCATTCAAGGCTTGATGAGTTTAGACTGTCAAATGGTCATGATTCTTTTGAAAAGTTTTTACGCGAAAGGAACGCAAATTTGGAATCGGTGTTTAAAGGCGCGTCTAGTTCTACATACCGTCTTCAAATGTCAAGAGTAGTATCGAAAGCGCAGATTTCGGTCTGTAGATTAGCATAACTGGATTTGGATAAAATACTGGATTCCAAGGATATAAATGTCCTTGGATTACACTATAATTCGAAATCCTTTGAAGTGCACGGAAAAATGGCAGCAGAAAGAAAAATAATGAAGTATTTATGGTTGGGAAGGTTTCTTTTTTCAATGTGCAAATCAAACACGGTATGACATCAATAAATATCAGAAGCGGATTTGAAAAGCTCAGACTTCTTTCCACTGAACAGTAAAAAAAACTTGTCGTTAAAGTCCGACCGAGCGTCAGAAAAATGCGTCAAAAAATGAAATTTCCAAAAGTGCCCCAGAACTTTTGGATCAACCTAACACCAGCACGCGGTCCGAAAAGTGTTGATGAATGCTACCTGCTCTACAGTAAATTGATCCCACCAGTCCAGCATTATCGTAAACGTTTTGCCACTGAAAAGTTTAGATTTTTGTTAGAATTAACCAACTAACGCTGAGATCATTTATCATAGCGTACCGCTCAAATTCACTTATGGCAAGCGCTCTCAAAGTTTGCGAAATAAGAAGCGCAAAACTTCACCGGATAAACAAGGCTTGCCGTTTTTCCGCGGATTTAATGGAAATGACTTTGACTTGCGGGTCACGCTTCTATGACAAGAATTCCTCTTCATCGAACACAACCGACACAGAATCTCGAGTCTATCTTTTCTGTATATTTTTCCTAGTCTTTCTTTCACTCTTCTCACAAAAGACCGCAACCTGCGTGTTCGTGCCATGGATTGTATTCTATACCCTATATTCTGCTACCACGTCAGCAAGCCTTTACAAAGGTCTTTGTCCTCCTGCTTGTCCTCCTTTCTATGGACATGCCCTATACTACATTCTAGAGAATGTAATCCGTCATATGATTATCCTATGAATCTCTAGTCTACCAACGACTTTCGGGAGAGCTGTCTGAAGGGGCTGAAGTCTATAAATAAGTGGAAGGAAGGCAAGCACTTCGTCGCCAATATGTTCAATAGGAAATGTATGGAGAAATTGCTGCGGCTTGCATTACGCAAAGAAGCCGCAAGATCAAGCATAGATTATGGAACGCAAGAAAAATGGATCGTTCAACTTTTCTACGTGTAAATCGATTTAAAGCAATTTTTTCCCTGGTAAGCAGAAAGCATTGCAGCCTACGATTTTTAGCCGTTTGCATGTGATCGGCATTTTGGATGTCCTCCATTGTGAATTCAGCGTTTGCTTATTGACATCGCAAGTGCCGCTGTACCCCAGGGGCAGAACTTCCACGTCGGCTTCACCTCCAGCCACTCAAGGGGCCTATTTTCTACTTTTTCTTCTCTTTTTTTAGTTCTGTTCAAAGCAATCATTCTAATTGTTTTAGAGCATTGACAAATAAGTGAAGAGATATACCAGGAAAAACAGTAAGAGTCGTAGCAATGCAAAGAGGGGCATGTGTCTATAAGAAAACTTAGCTGAACAGTAAACTTGAGGGGAAGAAGCATATTATCATATTAAACACCAGTGCGTCACCTCTTTCGCAGAGGCTCGCACTGGCTCTACTATCTATGTGCCTTACTCATTCTCGTAAAATCGTGGCACTGGAACTCACCGCGCTATGCCGACTACCACGAATAAAATGTAAACAATCACTCATTTAGAAAGTTTTTTCACGTGAGATCGGTGATTTCGCGTGGATGAAACTTTTCGCAGGAAGACAAACGCAAATTTGAATAGGTTTTTGGATTTGTCATGGCTTGGTAGTCGCCATAGAGGTAATAGTAGCCGTGAGCTACATCCCTGTGCGAAAATCTCAAACGCCTAGCTAGAACCTTGGCAAATTGACCATTTACACAACCAATTCTTTTTGGCGCCGTTTTCGTTATGTAGTAAACTTTCGACCATTTCTCGGGCTAAGCTCCATCGCTTGCACATTTACTTACCAAACTCATCCACGACTCTGCAAAAAGTGGTGATACGGACCGAATTTTGCGGTACAGAAGTCAGGTGGACCCATTTGGCGCGCAATTTCTGAGGGATCCGCTCAACGAATTTACTCATGCTTTTGCATGTTGAACTTTCATGAAGGTAGCATGCGCTATGCAAAATTTGGGCTTAGAACGCTGGCGGGAACACGTTCCACGAATTTCGTAACAGACACACTCTCACACACACAGACAGACAGACACACAAAGTCACGTAAACATCCTTAGCCCGTTATTATAAGTTATGATTATTGATGAGAGTGGTGGATCGTAGAATTTTTGTGGAAATGTGGAAAGGTGGAAAGCCTTAAGAATTTTTCAATTGATCGTGTTTTGCATGTTCTCTAAAAGTTCTTCGCGATGATTGTTTTAGAGATTCTCAAAGTAAGTTGGAAGGCTATCTGTGCAGTTTTATACCTACAAGGAGTAAAACACGAAAACTTTATGGAAAACGGGATTGTGCGTTTGGGAAGAAATGACTGTTAACAACAAAAATTGGTTACAATCGCAAAAGTAAGAGGAAGTGAAGGAGAGATTCGCATTGTCTAAAAACTGTGAAAATGAGACAGTATAGGAAGTAAAAAACCGAAACTCTGTGCAGAAAAGTATTACTCGAGCTCATCTGTGAGCGTGGCAGAGAAATGCGAATTCGGTTGGGATTATGATGGTCGATAAATGAACTTTGCGGCTGTCTAGGATACGTATTGTACCAATTTGGAATGTATTTCATATGGGCTTGAAAACATTTGTATTGATCAAAGTGCAAGAATAGGATGTTCGACTGAGTAAATGACCAAGGTTAGCATTAGAAGTATGAGAAGAAATAGAAAGTGTGTATCTGGTTAAATAGATTTCAGCACGGAATGCCGATTCAGGTAAACTTAGTCAAAAAAGAAATCTGAAAGGGATTTAAATGCAGTTTGATTGATAGACAAGGTGATCTTCAATAAAAAAGCGCAAAATGCCTGCACTTTGGTAAAGCATGATAAGATGAACACTCTGACGAAATTCGAGTAGAAGCCGATTTTGGTAAACTGTGTCTTGCAAGTTATACATTAGGTTGGAAAATGAGCTGGCTATGAAAGATTGCCATTCCGGCATGACAGGAGAGATATGCTGAATATAATTGAGCTGCCCTGACGCATGCGAACTTTTTATTTTGATCGAATAATCATCCTTTGTATTGTTCCGCTGCTTTCAATCACGCAGCGGGATATGACGATGTTGATCACTTTTACAATGCCAAAGATAGCGCATTTTAGGTCGTTTTTGCAAAGCCTCTCGCTTTCAAAAACTTCCTATTCGAGCAAGTAAGTGGGTCTACTAGGTGGACGAAAAACACTATCGATTTAACGTGGGAATGGCCAGTGGTTTACGCTATGCAATTCCTTATTTCTTTATTCTGGGTGTTGATTTGAAGCAAAGCGGTCGTTCTTGCTCACTCCAGCATCGCTTTGAGTAAAAGCACCACTGTTGGCAACTACGATTGCGGGCCGTCGGCTTTAGTGCCTCCAAATGAAGAAGTACTAAGAGAAAATGTAACACAAAAACAGTTATATGAAGTAAAGACATAGGTGTCGCTTGAAACAGCTTGTCACTGCAAATTCAGAAGTAGTGCGATCACACACAACGTCTGATTGAAATAAGGACGATTATGGTTGAGCCACGGAAGCAGACATTGCACAGAGAGACGCTGGCGTTGCCCACAGGCGAAAACATCAATAGAAAATATGCGAACAGCTGAGAAAGCGATAGAACTGAGGAAAATTTCTAAATTCAAGAAATAATTTGTTAGACGAAAGGATTTGCTTTGTTTTTCATGACAATCCATAGAGTCAAAATGGAGTAGTACAGCCGCAGTATAGATTCAAATCTGTCATCTTGGCACAAAAATTCTCGCACCATTTTCAGAAAATCGCAAGAGTTGCTTGAACTCTTCTCTATTTCCTGTTTTGGAAAGCGGGGCAAAAATTTTGAATTATTCCTAAATTTGATTCCAAACGTTTTCCTTCTATTTCTCCTTTTTTTACAGCCTTCTCTATTCCTAGTGTTTAAACAGCGTTTTCTAAGGGGTATCTCATGACGCTTAAAACAGGTCATTTGTAGAACAATCTTGAAAGCCCTTTCGAAATGCGTGATCCCTTGTCATAACTTATAATAACGGGCTAAGGATGTTTACGTGACTTTGTGTGTGTGTTTGTGGTCTGTTACGAAATTCATAGCGCGAGTTCCAGCCAACCTCCTGCGCTTAAATTCTGCACAGCGCATGCTACCCGCAGGAAAGTCCAGCATGCAAAAGCACGAGTAGATTGGTTGAGTGGATCCCTGAGAAATTGCGCGCCAAACGAATCCACCTGGCTTCTGCACCGCATTCGGTCCGTATCATCACTTTTTGCAGAGTCGTGGATGAGTTTGGTAAGCAAATGTGCAAGCGATGGAGTTTAGCCAGAAAAGTGGTCGAAAGTTTACTACATAACGAAAACGGCGCCAAAACGAATTGGTTGTGTAAATGGTCAATTTGCCAAGGTTCTAGCGAAGCGTTTGAGAAGATTTTCGCACAGAGATGTACCTCACGGTTACTACTACCTTTATGGCGACTACCAAGCCATGACAAATGCAAAAACTTATTCAAATTTGCGTTTGTCTTCCTGTGAAAAGTTTCATCCACGCGAAATCACCGATCTCACGTGAAAAGCCTTTCTAAATGAGTGATTGTTTACATTTTATTCGTGGTAGTCGGCATAGCGCGGTAAATTTCAGTGCCACGATTTTACGAGAATGAGTAAGGCACATAGATAGTAGAGCCAGTGCGAACCTCTGCGAAGCAGAGGTGACGCACTGGTTTTGGATAAGGTGAGAATGTGCGAGCTGCGAGCTGCTTGTGCCAAGAATATATAAACTCTCGGAAAAGAGGTAACATTGAACTCTTGTTAACATAGTAAATTCCATACATGTTATGAAAATGTGGAAATATACATCAAAGACTTATATTTTGAAATGATCCACTATTAAAATTGTGGTTTCTTGTAGGCCTTGATGGCTACTTCCA